TGCATGCTAGGCAAGCGCTCTACCACTGAGCCACATCCCAGCCCTTTTCACTGAATCTTCTTTCCTCCTGCAAACAAAGATTGCAAAGGAACTGCACCTCAGGTCAAATGGCACAGGTCCAAACGTGGGGGCTTTTAATTAATTCACAGGGCCAAGCAAAAGCATCTTTGTTTATTTGGGGTATATATGTGTAGGAACTTGAACTCAGGACCTGGGTGCAGCTTTTGTTCTCAAGACTGGTGCTCTACCACTTGAGCCACAGCTCCACTTCCTGTCTTTTTAGTAGTTGGAGATAAGAGACTCATGGAATTTTCCTAAGCCTGGCTATGAACTTTGATTCTCAGAGTTCAGATTTCAGCCTACTGAGAGGCTAAGATTACAGGCATGAGCCACTGGTGCCCAACTAAAAGCATCTTTGTGTGTGTGTGTGTGTGTGTGTGTTCGGGTTCATATGCACTGATCCTGGGGTTTGAACTCAGGGCCTAGGCACAGTCCCTAAGCTTCTTTTGCTCAAGGCTAGCATTCTACCACATGAAGAACAGCACCACTTTGGGCTTTTCCTGAATAGTTTATTGGAGATAACTCTCACAGACTTTGTTGCCCAAGCTGGCTTTGAACTGTGATTCTCAGATTGCAGTCTCCTGAGTAGATAGATTAGAGGCGTGAGCCCCCAGCACTGGGCTTGAAAGTATCTAAGTCACCTCCAGCCCTGATTATTCCGCCACATACCCAAGATGGTAAGAGGACATCTTATCGGGGACAGCTGTGTGCTGATCGGCTTCTTGTTCACCCCAGGACCTGGGCGAGGCCATGAACGTGGCTGAGCTTCAGCAGGAGCTAGGCCTGCTGGACGTGGGCAGCCAGCGGGAAGTTTTCCTCTTGGCAGCCAGCATTGCTCCGGCAGGACCAGGCTTCGAAGAACCTGGCACCGTGCACATCTGGAAACTGCTCTTGGAGCTCCTCTCCTAGACCTGAGCTGCCTGCTTGCCACCCAGCTTCAGAGACCACACAGGTCCACTGCTTCCTGACTCTGCCTCACCAACCTGGGCCTGGGGACGCGCATTAGAGAGCCTTTCCCCTCTCCCCTCCATCCCTCTCTCAAGAGCAAGGCCGAGCTCACACCTGTCCTCGTAGCTACTCAGCAGGCTGCCACCTGAGGATTGGAGGTTTGAAGTCAGCCTGGGCAGGAAAAGTCCAAGAGACTCTTCTCTCCAGTTAACGAGCAAAAAGCCGGAAGTGGAGCTCTGGCTCACGTGGTAGAGCACCCCGGGCAAGACCCAGGAGCAGCACAAGAGAAGCAAGAACCGGTGGTCCAGAAGCAGGAGGTGGGTGAGGCCCAGGTGAGAGAGCGCCCGTGTCTGGCTCAGAGTGTGGATTTAGCATTCCCTTCTTTGATCTGCTCTGGGGGCTGACTCCCTCCCCTCAGCCCTCTTCCTTTCCCAGTGACTCCATGCACTTCTGCCGTGGACCGCCAGGGGGCATCGCGCTTGCTCCCTGGCCTGCTTTACCCTCCATTGTCTCCCTTCTCTGCCTCACACTGGCTGCCTGTGGCCTTGTGCAGTCTTGGCCTCTCTGGCCCCAGAGTCGTTCTTTTACTTTTTTTTTTTTCTTAACCCTTATTTATTTTATTTTTTGGTGCCAGTACTGGGGCTTGAACTCGGGGGCCTGGGCGCTGTTCCCTTAGCTTTTTGCAGGTGAATTGGAGATAAGAAAGTGTCGAGCTTTTCTTCCTGGGCTGGTTTCAACCTGTGATCCTCAACTCTCAAGTCTCCTGAGTAGCTAGGATTACAGGCGTGAGCCACCCAGCTCTTCCCCCCGGGGTTGTTTCTAACTGCCTACCAATGGAGATGTGCTAGAAATAAACCCGAAGACCTTAACAAGGAGCTTACTTAAACACCTTCCCCCCTGCGTTTAAGGCCCCTGATGACTACGGAGTAAGTCCAGTTCATCCACCAAACAAAAAGTGAAGATGGTGTTTCCCCCCCCATACCCCCACCCCAAATCTGGAGTCAAATAGCTGCTCTTCTGACTGTGCCCACGCCACGTTTACCTGAGTCTAAAGAAGGAAAGAGTTCAAGTCCCAGGCACCCATGTTAACTGGAGCTGGGGCTCTTTTGAGCCTTGGAACTGCATTTATTTATTTATGTATTTATCAAAGGGATCAGGTCAAAAGTCCAGGCTGTGTTTCTAGGTGCTTTCGTCATAGCCCCAGGTGAGGTCACTCACGGGGGGGGCCGTGGACACAGAGCTGTAGCGCCTCGCCCTACCCCTCTCCCTCCAGCTGGCTCTTGAGACCATTTGGTATCATAATCAATCGGTGACAGAAACTGGTGGCTCATGCCTGTAATCCTCGCTATTTAGAGGAGGCTGAGAGGCGGGGAGAGAAGCGATCATGTGAATCCAAAGGACAGTAGCCGGCCAGCCCACACAGCTGCCACGTCCCTCATTGCGTGTGTGCTGACCAGGCAGCTGAAGGACTGCTTTTGTGTTGGCACTTCCTGGCGCATTCGGATGGAGCTTCCTGTCCATCAGGGCTGGCTGACTAGTTCAAATGGACTGTGGGGTTTCTTTTTTGGTTTTGTTGTTTTTTAAGGCGCTATCCCACTCGGTTTGCTTTTGAAAGGAGAAGACATCGTGTGCCTTTGTTTCCTTTGACGTTTACCCAGCATGCCTCGGTGCCATACTGCAGCACTGCCAAAGGAAGTGGTGCCCCCCCCACCCCCCCAGTGATCTTGGGCACGGAACACATTGGGAGGGAATTAACTGTTCTCTAATTCCAATTCCCTTTCTATTATAAAAGGTCATTTTTTTCTTCACATTAAGTATTTAAGGAATACTTGGGTCGTTTTCCCTCCCCCCCCTTCCCCTCCCCCCACTGCCAGAATTCATTTTGGTAAAATATTATATGGTCAGAGGCACAAAGAGAACTTGGGCTTCACAGTGGCCTTTGAACCTTGGCTGTAAACTTCTCATCTTGGCACTGGGTAAAACATTTTTGTGTCTAGCTAGCCGCGGGTGGCTTGTGCCTGTGATCCTAGCTACTCAGGAGGCTGAGATTTAAGGATCATGGTTTGAGGCCAGCCTAGGCAGAAAGTCTGAGGGCCTCCCATCTCCTATGAACCCAACAAAAAGCTGGACTGGGGGCATGACTCAAGTGGCAGCGTGCCAGCTGTAAACAAGCAAAACGGATCAAGGACCCAGGGCTCTGAGTTCAAGTCCTGGTACTGGCACCAAAAAAGAAAATTCCTTTGTGTCTGTCCTGTGAACAGAAAATAAGTTTGTGTCTGTTCACCTTGCCCAGTGATTGACGCCAACAATGGAACCAGCATGATTGTTGAGGGACCCTTCCTAATTACAATCTGCCTTCGTGTGATTATTATCATGTTGTACATTTTTACGGTCCCCAATACGGGGAGATGGATTTGCAAAATAAAGTTTCCACTGTGTCTACTGGAGTTTTCTTTTTTTTTTTTAATCAAAGTCGCTCAGATCTTGAGTGCTCTGGGTTATTCCTGTAATTCTACCTCATCAGGAAGGGGAGATCGGAAGATGGTGGGCCAGGCAGATAAATCCCAGAGACCCTTATCTCCAGTTAACCAGCACAAAGCCGGAAGTAGAACTGTGGCTCAAGTGGTAGAACCCCAGGCCTTGAGTGAAAAAACTAGGGGACAGCGCTGAGTTTAAGCCCCAGTGTCAGCATATACACCCAGAAGACTAGGGGTAGGTATGCTGAGGGCCCTGAAGGCCCACAGTGCTACCACAGCCCCTTGTCCACGTGTGGCCTCTGCTGTGACTGGTCTGCCAAGCAGCGCCTGTCTATACTCCTCTGCCTGACTCCTGCCACTAACCTGGATGGACAAATGGGGACAAGACCTTTCAAACCTCTCTTGCCTGCCTGGCTTTGCATTGCTGTTACTCTAACAGACTCACACCTGTGATCCCAGCTCCTTGGGAGGCTGAGATCTGAGGATCACAGTTCAAAGCCAGCCTGGGCAGGAAAGTCTGAGACTCGTCTCCCACAAACTACCAAAAAAAAAAAAAAAATCCAGAAATGGAGCTGTGGCTCTAATGGCAGAGTGCTAGCCTTGAGCAAAAGTTCAAGGACAGTGCTCAGGTCCTGAGTTCAAGCCCCAGGAGTGGCACAATAAAAAGAGGGTTGGAGGCATGGTGCAGATGGTAACTGACAGCCAATAAGCAAAAAAATGTTGGCAAGTTGGAGTCCTGGTCTTGGACAAAACAGTGAAAGCCGGGCGCTGGTAGCTCGCACCTGTCATCCTAGCTACTCAGGAGGCTGAGCTCTGAGGATCATGGTTCAAAGCCAGCCCGGGTAGGAAAGTCCAGGAGACCCATCACCAAATTAACCACCAGAAAACCTGAAGTAGAGCTGTAGCTCCAAGTGGTACAGAGGCAGCCTAGAGTAAAATAGATCAGGGATGGCTCCCAGGCCCTCAGTTCAAGCCCCACAACTGACAAAAAAAAAGTGTGAGTAAAAAGAGGTGTTTGGCCTGTCCTAACACCTCCGATAGTGATGCTGGTGGCTTTCGGGATTGCACACCTCTAAGATGAAGGTGTGTGCAAGACCTCACATAAAGTGCACTCTCCCCAGCCATTTTGGCTTCAGTTATTTCTCCGCCATCCATCCCACCTACAACACCTTCTTCCCACATAGCTAGGATCACTGGGATCACTTTGGCTAACCCCGCTTATTTCATGACGTAAGAGTCTCACTTTTTGCTCCACTGGCCTGGAACCAAGATTCCCTCCCATTCTCCCACCTGTTCCCCTTTCCCCTGCTCAAGAGCAGAGAGGATTATGACTTAAGTAGATAGAAGGACTGAAAGCACTCATCCCACACCCTGCCCTTCCATCCTGTTTCAAAACACCTCGCCTGCCACCAGTTCAGGCAGGTCTGAGGGGGGCCAGTCAGGCTGTCTGGGACCTCTCTGTGTAGCATATGAGAATGGTATGCAGCAGGGCGCTGGTAGCTCATGCCTGTCATCTTAGCTACTCAGGAGGCTGAGATCTGAGGATCACGGTTCAAAGCCAGCCTGAGCAAGAAAGTCATGAAACTCTAGAGGTAAAGGTGTGGCTCAAGTGGTACAGCACTAGCCTTGAGTACAGGGTCAGCATCCAGATTTGAGTTCAAGCCCCACAACCAACGGAAAAAAAAAAAAAACAGAGGTATACACAGCTATCCTGGAGAAGGAGGTTTGGGGACCTGGGGTTCAGTTCAAGACAAAGCTAACACAATGAAGGAGGGCAGGGCCAGTAGCTGGCTCCTTCACTGGGCAGGAAGCAGAACTGATCTGGGGTGGGACCAGAAATACGAGTCAGACCCCGATACACAGGCCAGGTCTCCCAGCAAGCTTTGGGAGGAGAGCAAGTGGAAATGTTATACAGAAAACCAAGGTAAGACAGCGATGGAGAAGAGCAAGGAGGCTGCACCTACAAGAACATGCAAGCTGTGGCTTGGGCAGCAGGGTTGGTATTCTCTGTGGCAGCTCCAGGGCGTGGCTGGGCTAGGTAAATCCAAAACCATCAGAGAAGCAAAATGTCCAGGTTGGAGGCGTGGCTCAGTTGGTAGAGCATCAGCCAATGAGCAAAAAGTGTCCGGGGGACTGAGTTTGAATACCTGTCTCAGACAAAAAGAAAAAAAAGATGAGGGCTGGGAAGGTGGCTCAGTGGTAGAGCGCTTGCCTTGCATGCCTGAGGCCCTGGGTTCGATTCCTCAGCACCACATAAGCAGAAAAAAAAAGCCGGAAGTGGTGCTGTGGCTCAAGTGGTAGAGCGCTAGCCTTGAGCTGAAGAGCTGAGGGACAGCGCCCTGGCCCAGAGTTCAGGCCTCACGACCAGACCCCAAAAAATAATAAAAAATAAATAAAAGATGAGCAAAATGTCCTTGGTTTTATTCTATGTACAGATTCTATTCAGATAAGGCCACCTCTGTGAACACAGCCAAGTGTGGGCTTTTCTGAGACCCAGAGAATAGGGTAGTTACTCCTGTGTGCGTGCACCCCAATAATCTGATTCCACAGAATCAGACCAACCAGTCTCATCTGCAGCTCTCCACTCCTTGCCTTAAAGCCTGATGCTGGCTTCTGTGGTGCGGAAGGCGTACAGGCTGGAGCCGGTGAGAGCCAGTCACTCCACGTCCATGTCCCTATCCTGCAGA